ATGGTGTGTGGGTAAATGTAGTACATACATACATACATACATACATACGCATATAGGAGCACGTCCATGTGTTGTGATAACTTGAGCTGGTGTCTACTGAGTCACCGATGGGTACCAGGTACGCAGTGTGTGTGCATCTGTGTGTACACAATGCTTTTCCACTCAGTCTGTGTGCTACAGTTAGACGCTTTCACCCCCACTTCAGCTACCTTTAGTCTTTTCCAGACACCACCGGGAAGGGCAGATGTTTTCTCTAATTTACTCGGTGAGTGGAAGGCTCCATTTTAATTGATTCTATCTTTCAAGATGCAAGGAACTTGTAATCTCAGCCCAATTGTCGATACTTTGCAGGCCTCTTCCCCCCAGCCTTTAGCATGCAGATAGGGCAAGCAGGGAGCTGCTGTCACAGCTCAGGATGAAAACGAAGAGCAGCGCATGGTGATAATCCTCTTTTGATTTCCCCCCCTTCCTTTCCCTGCACCCTCTCTCAAATCCACTGAAACGAGGGGAAATCCATAGCGATTAGAAAAACTTCTGACCAAGATGACTCTCTCCTTTTCCTTTCATTTTCTCCCCACCCTCTTTAGTATTCTGGAGCTGCCCCAAATAGCAGAGGCTTCCACCAGGCTTGGCTGTGCATAGCATCCCAACCACAGAATGGGAAAGGAAATGCTGTGCTGGAGAGTCTGTGGTGATGCCAGGCGCCTTTGGTCACCCTATGGGGCAGTCTGATAACAAGTCATAGGGGTCGCCATGGTACAGTCTGGAGTCTTCTACCAAGATAGGGAGAGTATGGGAGTCCCCTACCAGCCACAGCTGTTCGGAGGACCCTTTCTGTGCTCCCCCTGAGCCCTGTTGCATACCTTGGCAGGGCCTAGGAAGGAGAGCACAAAAAAGACTGGTGTGGCTCCAAAGAAGCACAGTGATGGTCACATGATAAGAAAATACTCTTTCGGCCAGGCAGCGGTGGTGCACACCTTTAATCCCAGCACTCAAGAGGCAGAGGCAGGTGGATCTCTGTGAGTTCAAGGCCAGCCTGGTCTACAGAGTGAGATCCAAGACAGGCACCAAAGCTACACAGAGAAACCCTATCTCAAAAAAACAAAAAGAAAATACTCTTTCTAGGTCTCATTGTGCGCCACTGAGATGTGGAGTTGTCTTAGTCAGTATTCTATCGCTGTGAAGAGATACCATGACCACAGCGACTCTTACAATGGAAAGCATTTATTTGGGGCTTGCTTTCAATTTCAGAGGTTTAGTCCATTGTCATTATGGCAGCGAGCAAGCAGATGTGGTGCTGGAGAAGTAGCTGAGAGTTCTACATCTGGACCCACAGGCAGCAGGAAGAGAGAGACTCGGCTTGGTGTGGGCTTTTGAAACTTCAAAGTCTGCTCCCAGTGACACACTCCAACAAGGCCATACTTCCTAATCTTTTCAAATAGTGCCACCCCTGGTGACCAAGCATTCAAATCTATGAGCCTGTGTAGCTGGAGTTTTCTCCAGTCCTACCCAGCCCCACGGACCCCATAACTGCTTATAAAATAATCACTCAGAAGCTCATATTAATTAAACTTCTCAGCTTTGTCTAACTCTTAGACTTAAACTCAGCCCATTTCTGTTAATCTATATGTCACCATACATTCTGTGGCTTTACCCATTGCCTTTACATGCTGCTCCCTGAATGGCAGGCTGGCATCTCCTCTTGGTTTCAAGCTCCCAAGCTCTCTTTTGTTTGTCCCGCCTATCCTATACTTCCTGCCTCGTACTGGCCAATCAGTGTTTTATTTATCAATCAATCAGAGCAACATATATTCACAACATACAGGACATCCCCCAGCAAGCCGGTGGGGGCCATTTTCATTCAAACCACCATAGGGGGTATACTAAGTTAGGAATACTCAATGTCACCATTCAGAGACAATTGTCTGGGTTTTTTTTTTCTTTTTTCTTTTTTCTCCCCCCCCCCATAGCTGTAGTGACACATTTCAGATGCAAGACAGGATGCATCTCTGACCAGCAGTCTTCACTCCTGGAAAAGTGGGCCTAGACCTCATGTGACAATCTGAACAGGAAGTCCATGGGTACACAAAAAGCAAAGTTGTATGAAGGACAGTAGGGGATGAGTGTTTCTGCACTGGACCAAGTCACTGTCGTGGATAGGTCATGTTATGCTTCCAGACATGGCTGACGAGTAGAAGGATCAGTTTTAATTGATCCTATCTTTCAAGATCCAAGTAGTATCTGCTGCAAATTTCACTCCAGCAACAAGCCCTGTTTCCTGAGCATTGCAAGTAGGGGGGGGGGGGAGTATCTTCCAGGAAAAGGAGGGCTGCCTTCCTGAGGATGCTGCTGCAGCATGGCCAAAGGAGACATTTGACCTCTTGGCCTCTGACCTAGGAAATGGCTAAGCACAGGCAGTTGCGGGGGGGGGGGGAGGCAACAGAGAGTAATCACAATGCCCTTACCTTGCCCATGTACCCATGTCCCCAGAGGTTGTTAGCATTAGCTTGGTGAACAATGCAGCTATGTGACTGGCAGCCACAGAGGGCAAGAAATCATGTCGGGAGGAGAGGGCAGGTGGGTCTCAATGAGCTACCTGTGCCTGAAATCAGCTCTCCTGCTCAACCTTGTACTAAGCTCAGCTGGAAACTGACAGCAGTTTCTACTTAGTCCATGAATCCCCCAATCTTCTGCAGGCAGCTTGTGGGACTCCTGGTGTGCAGTGTGGGAGAGCTCCTCCATCCATTGTTAGTTCCCAGACTCAGGTCACTGGAATAGCAAAAGCTGCTGGTCAGGAGAGCCCCCATGTCCTGTTTGCCTTTCTCACTCAGTCAGGACGCCTGCAGATTAGATCCCAGGGCCACCAGCAGCCTAGGGAATGGTCAGAGACCATGCAGTGAACATATATGGTGAGGGACAGTGAAGCTACAGAACAGGAGTTTGTCTTCGCATCCCTTGGCAAAGCTTTTCAGGAGTCTGTAAGCTGCTCCCCAAAACTGTTGCCCTCTCTCTAGGGCAAGGGTGCCTGCCTCCTTTTTCCTTTGCTCTAAAGGATTGGCTCTCAGGGATCTTTGTTTTACTCCTTTCTAGGCTTTTCCACCTCTCTCTCTCTCTGTCTCTCTCTCTCTCTGTCTCTCTCTGTCTCTCTCTCTCTCTCTCTCTCTCTCTCTCTCTCTCTCTCTCTCTCTCTCTCTCTCTCTCTCTCACACACACACACACACACACACTCATACAGAGAGAAACAGAGACAGAGAGAGATTATCTCATAGTGAATAGACATACCATAGAGATGTGAATCACTCTACTAAACAACTTTATCCTCAACCACAGAGAAGCCAATCAGAAGAGTACTGGGGGGGGCAAGTGGAGGGTGCCAGTGACCCAAGATCGTCCCACAGCAGACAACTGATTATGTTCATCAGCACAGGTGAACAACAGCAGAGGCCAGACAGAGTGAGCATGGGGGTCACTATATTTACGTAGAAAGCAGGGATTTTAATGGAGCTAAAGCACCTCCTTATCTGTAATTCTTCTTCTACATCACCCAGTATTCCTGCCTTTAAGTAAATCCTGCTCTCAGACTGGTTTCTGGAAGGGAGCCAACAGTCCGCACAGGTCTAATGTGTGAAGTCAAATACACCCTAATTGCAAGTGGACACACACAATGGTGACCAGAGCTAACGGGCATTTAGCCTCCTGCGTGCATGGAAATCCTCTTTAGTTTAGATTCCAATCATTTTTTGTTTCGTTGAACAAACATTCTTGAGTGCTTAATGAATGTCTTGCACTACAACAAGTGTGTGAAGGAGGTTTTCTGAGGCTTGGTGAAAGCAGGACAGTGAGAAGCTAATTTGTTTTAAAGATTGCTTTACTCTCTCTGTAGTATGGGGAGTGGCCAATTCAAAGTGGCTTGTCCCGGACAACCAGGTGAGTAGACTCAGTCAAGTGGGAGATGACAGTGCCTTTAACTAGGAAACAGGGCATGGAGGAAACCAGGTCAGGAGGTCCCTGATCAGTCAGTCCAAGACACCCGTTTATTAGCATCCTTGCACAAAGCACCATGGCAGGTGCTACATAGAGAGTGAGGAACAACCTTTAGTGGTCAAATAAAAAGAGTTTGGCAATGGGTTGATCCTAGGGGATGGGGGGAAGGGGGATTAGGGACTATGCTGTATGCTTCAACTGGAACAAATGGGGAGCTGAAGGAACTGCTCCCACTGATGATCAATTGAGAGAATGAAGGTTTGAGGGGAAAAGAAATAGACCCCCACCCCCATTTGATGCACTAAATAAGATCTACCTCAGAGCGTCTACATGTGGGTGTCCAGGAAACATTCATATGTGTGCGCTGTGACCCAAGAGAGAAACCTCTCCTGGGATTAAGGGAAGGTTCTGAGCCAATCCTGTAAGGGGTGCAGGGAAAAGGGGCAAGTGAGGATGGATGCAAAAGGCAAAGTGAAGAAGCCTATGGAGAAGCAGGCAAGTCAAGACAGCACGCTGCTATGGAAGAACAGTGTGTAGTGGGCAGAGGACTCTGGTGAAGGATAGGCTGACCGGTACACTAGGACATACAGTTACAAGGTCACTAGCCACCTCAGAGTGTCATTTAGGAGAATGGGCAGACATTGACACTAGAATACTCTGGGTGGTGGGCAGAGTGGGGTCTGAGAAATGAATAGACACTATAAACGATGCTTTCAGGAAGTTGAAAAGGAGAAAACAAAGAAGCAGCCACAGAGGAATATGGACCAAAGGCAGACTTTGCTGTTACTGCTGCCGTTGCTACTTTTTTTTCAATAACTAATCCTATTAATAAAATGAAAGGGTCAAGTGGTCAGAACAATGCCACTAAAAGTGCTAAAGAAAGAGTTCTGTAGATAGAATTCAAATCCTTAGGGTAGAATCTTGTGACTAAATAAGGCGGCTTCGCAAAAAGAGAGGGGACTCTAAGAGACACTCATGCTCCCTCTCTCTTGCCATATGATCACTCCACTACCTACCGTGGGACCCTGCCATCAAGAAAACCAGCTGCAGCTCTGGATTTAACCGTGGATTAAGCCATGAGCATGAGGTAGAGTGGAGAGGCTGAAAGTGGATAGGACAAATAGAACTCGATTGATTGTAAGGGTTTCCATAGGAACGGAATCAACAGGATATACAGCTGGGAAGCCCCGAAATGGGCCTTATTAGAATAGGCTTGTGTGGTTATAAGGATGGAGAAGTTTTCTGATAGACTTTCTGAGATCTGGGGGTTGTGGAAGACAGTGGTGTGGCTCAGCCCAGTGACTGCAGATCTAGAAAGGACCAGTAATGTAATTCTCATCCTGAGACCACAGGCCTAAAAAGCTAAGAGACAACTGTGCACATCCCAGAGTCCAAAGGCTGGAGAAATTGTATGTCCAAGGGCAAGCACAGGGCACCCCAGCTCTAGAAGGACAGAATTGCTTTTTTCTCTGTCACTTGCTCTCTGTGGGCTCAGCTAATTGGATGATGCCCACCCACGTTGAGGGCAAACCTTCCCGATTCAATTCACAGATCTAAACGCCAGTCTCTTTCCAAATCATCCTCAAAGACATCCCATTAGTGGCACTTTACCAACTATCTCAGCATCCCTCAGCCCAGTCACACTGACGTTTAAAGCTAGCCATCACAGGGCCACCTGAATACTGGGGTAATTCTGTCCAACACCTCTGCTCATCCCAGAATTAGAGAAGCAGGTCATGAAGCAATCTAGACTTTTGTGTATGGTGCAGGGAGGATTGCCTAGGTGAGAATTTGGGGTATGTATGGTGGTGGGGGATTGCCTAGGGAAGGATTTGGTATGTGGGCAGGGGAGAATGTTGGCTACATGAGGATTTCATGTATATGTGTATGGTGTGTTGGTGTGCCAAAGGGATTGCCTAGGTGAGGATCTGAGTGTGTGTGTGTGTGTGTGTGTGTGTGTGTGTGTGTGTGTGTGTGT